AAAATTACGGCATAGAGTACTAAACGAAAGGACAGCGCTTTTGTTCATGCTTGTCACTAGTTGAGTCACGTTTTTCCGGATCTCGTAGATCGCTGCTCGATATAGAAAACTATGGATTTTTCCAGTTGTTACCAAATGGCTGAAGTGATCGGCTGACTAAACGGGCAGGCAGTGTTGCGGCTCTGACATTCCCAACAACCAGCTTATAAGTCTGTTCAGTTTCGGCTTTGACAATGAAGTCTTTGGGGAGGGGGGAGGCGATGACTCACGTGGTGGCAGTGGTCATGGGACAAATAGTGAATTGCAGCTTTTATTGCACAAGTAGCTATTGATTTTCGTAGTTGGGCGGTGCGCGCGGCTGTGCCTCGTCGGCTTGTGTTTACTTTTGGCGTGTCGGCGTTTGCCACAAAGGTGTCAGGCGTGAGGATGATGCCTCGGTGACGGTATAGCTAGCGGAACGAGACAAGCCTGTTGTGCATCCGTGCTTGCTGCTCCTACTTCTGCTTCTCGTTCTCCGTACAGCTTCGATTCTGCGCTGGCACGGTGCGTCAGTCGGTGAGGAATTAACTCGAATATTGCGTCCGCATGTGTGCTAGAAAGCAGGGAAACGAAAAATGTCAGTGCCACGTGTCACGTCGATTTTTTAGCCCGCCGCATCGCGATGCTAGCATCGCGATGATTTTTTTGTCTCTCTACCGTACGAAACAGCTGACGAGGTTTGTGTACCCGCCCCTCCCCCACTCCTCGGTCACACCGCCCTGGAAGCCGAATTCAGAGTTGACCAGGGGCTACGAAACGCGATTGGCCCGGCCCCTCTCTCGGCTAACTATCGACGATGACGACGATGACGACAGGAAAACGAACTCTGACGGCCACAGCTTTTCCGCCGGTTTCGAAAGGTGGCTGGGTAAATGAGGACAAATTGAACAGTCGTCGTCACCGTCGCCTCTGCGTCACTCCTTCGCTTTCGCCTTCGCCTTGGTTGCCAGTGCGGTTCGTTCGTTTGCCGCAGCCGCCGCCGCCGCAACAGGTTTGAAGAGTATTCTTTTGGTCTGTCGGTCGGTCGGTCGCAGTGTCGAAAGTGCAACGCGGTTGTCTGATCGTACTTTGGCCTATTGTGACTACCGTCCACGAACGTCACCACCTTGTTTTCTTGTCGTATCATGTCGTTGAAGGTAAGTGACTCGTCTGATGACTCGAAGAGCTCAACAACTGGGTTTTTTATAGAAAGAAAGCAAAAGCGACCAACTGCTGCACACAGCGGCCGCCACCGGCGACCTCAAGCTACTTCAACGCGTCCTCGATAGCGGCAGGGTACACGTCGACTGTTGTGACAAGGTATACGCGGGCTGAACCGGTGAGGTTTACCAGCCGTTGCACTGCTTAATGTATGAAATGTACCCCCCCCCCAGAATCTGTTGATCACCCCAGTCAGCAGTCCTTAACCAATCGACTGGTTTAATGAAAACAATGCAGCGCGGTTGACTTTTGATAAAGGTACACCGTATGACGTGCATCGCTTTACGTCTTTTGTATCGGTTCTGTACGACCGTGTTAGTGTCATCGGTGGAGCATCATCGCCTTGGTTTTTTCCTCAGTCCCGCTCTTAGAATGCAGCTACTTTTAGATGGCTAGTCTCACGTCTCGCTGCCGATCAAAGCAGATGCAGGATACGATGACTAAAGTACGGTGAAGTGCGCTACTTTCGCCACTACAGCGACCTACATTGGTCGGCTAGCAAGGAAATAAAAAATATAACTAAAAAACTCTTCATGCCTTTTGAGGCAATGCTCTTTTAAGAAACTTACCCGTTGACTCGGAACTCGGACTTCATTGGCAGACGGAAAAATTGGGACTCAATTTGCGTTAGGATTTATCATCAAAACAAGCTTGGTCTGACCGTCCTTTTGACATCTTATTTCAACACCACGCAATACAGCTGTTCGGTCGGATGATAGACCAGTGCCGACTTTTTGACTCGTATTTTAAGGGGTCTTCTTTAACTTATGACTGGTGGCTGTTTTAAGATATGTGGCTAAACACTTCGATACCGCTCTTTCACTTGCAGAGCAACAGTATGGCACTGAATTTTGCTAAAACGCGTTTGTACTGTTTTTTATGATTAATAAGACATGAACAAAATGTCCATTCATGGAATGTCTATTTCTGTGTGGCCTGGCATCTTTCTATTCATACCACGGAAACCACAGACTCAAATATCCTGTACCGAAAGCCACCTGAATAACGTCTCTCAGAAATTATAGCCCAATTACTTTACTCAATATATCCCTTACCTAGATCAAGATCATTTCATATCTCCCGTCCTTTATTACCTCTGTACTTTTCTCAAGGAATTTGCTTAAATTGGAAGGATGACTAAAAGAAACATATCTTTACCTTCAACCTAATAGTTTTCTTACTTCGGTTACTTATAAGAACATATTTAAAGTTTTCTGTGCGCTTACATCGTAAGCCAAGTAGAAGCAAATGCGGTATTCACCACATTGGCCCATGCAGTGGCTCATCACCCTAAATGATTGCTTGTGTGGCATGGCAAACGCCGATATATAAAAGACCCTGCTCAGACATAGATCCATCCATTCCATCTGTTCATTCTTCTTCTATCTATCCGTCCGTTCATCCATCCGTCTTCAAGTTAGAAGATAGCTATCATTCTGAATAGCTTTTTCTCAGTTTCGGGTCATCCGTGAAATGAGCTAGCTCCAAATCCTCGATTTCAAGGCACCAACATTCACTGAAATTCAAAGTACTACGGTCATGTGACACTCCCTGTGCCACATTGCCGCCGCCTGTTAAGTGGCTTAGCCTAATGCTCGACTGACCTTTTATCGGTTTCATGAATGTCGTTTCTACTGTATCCTTTTCCTTGCTTTACACTGCTACCAGCTGTACTCTTATACAACTCACAAGTACGTTGGGTTTCCAGCATTGATCAATGATGAACACGGATCAGCCTCCACTGAGGTTTATGATGATGACTGATGATATCAAAATGAAAAGCTTATTTTCAAGATGTGGTTTGATCTCGCTCCTGACGCTTTACAAAAGATTGGTCTCATAACGCATGTTCTAAAAAGTCTGAACTTTTCACATCATTCGACTTTCAGTCATTTGAGATAAACATAAGCTATTGAAGAATATATGTTTTGAGGATCAGTGGGGTAACTTCTTGCTGACCGATCGACCTCAGCGTTCAGAGGAGGAAAGCGGACGACAACAGGGGGACAAGATGACCTTCCAAGGCAAGTTACGAAGTGCGTTTCTCCTCAGAGTGAAAACCTGTCGCCAACCGGGGCTCTGTAGATTATAACCAACCTTTTTCCTTCCAGGGAAGAATACTCTGACTTCAAATCCTGGAGGAAAGATTGTGGAAGGCTTGCGAATTGGATTTTGCCTCCTGCAAACTCGAAGGTTTTATACCCATTATATTGCTGAACCTCAGTTTTTTCTGTACTTCTATATTTCTCTGTTTCCCGTCTGAAAAAGAAACAATTAAAAAACCCTGAATCTAAATTTAAATTTGAAAA